TCCTTATTTAGTAATATGGCGAGGGAATTTAATGGATAGAGAGGCATGGTATTCAGTGACACCAGAAGACATCGCGAGGAATGAAGCAATTCGAGTCTACCTTCACTCAATTTTTACAGAGAAGAATAAATGTTTAGATTGTTTCTGTTGTGTAGGGGGAGACTCGATACAACACGCCACACAGAACTTTTCCGTGACTGCTGTTGATATTGATAAAATGAAGCTTGAGATGCTTAAGCACAATGCTGAGATCTATGAAGTTGAGAAGAGTATAAATTGTGTCTGTGAAGATGCATTTGAGTTTGTCGAAGAGATGAATACACGGGAATATGATGTGATTATCATATCGCCGCCTTGGGTTTGTTATTTAAAGATAGTATTACTTTCTTATTTTATTAGTTCTTTGAATAATTTCCATTTAAGTAATTAAAAGGGCGGGCCTGGTGCTTTTAGAAACAAACAAAGTCTCAATTCGTTGTTTCCTGGATTGAAGAATCTCTTCTGTGAATGCGTGGAAAAGTGCACAAATGTGATACTTCACGTCCCAAGACAAATGGAACCAGAAAATATAACAAGAGAATTCAATTTCCCAATCGAAGTTGTTACTTATGCACTCGGGGAAAGAGATGTCATGCAATCGTTTATTACTGGAGCATTGATTATACCATAATTCATTCCTTTGTGTTTTTTAGAGTACAAACATCGATTAAATCATTTGAAATCGCTTAAATTCGTATATTCAAGTGTATTTTAATTGAATGTTTTTGAAGTAATTTAAAAGTGTTGTTTTTTCAAGAACTTATCAAATTTATACCTTTTTGAAGTTTATTTATAGTCCAAATAATTGATAATTTGATTATTTTGAGTTAAAAATATATTTTTTACTCAAAATATTTTTTTGAGTTAAATATCAAAAAAGAAAAAGGTGTCTATTATTGTTCAACAACAAAAATAATTGTTTTCAGTGTTGTTTTTTTCTGTTAAAAACATTAAAAAGGATATAAAATAAGAATTTGATCAAAAAGTATTCATTATAAAGGAAATAATGTCTTTTTGTAATAGACATTTCTGATTTATACATTTTTATTTATGGAGTGAAAAATAAAAAGGTACTAAACAACAAAAATATTAATCAATCATTAGTACCAAATTGCTGAGATGCCAAAGCATGATAAAATCCTTTCATTTTCATTAACTCTTCATGTGTTCCTCTCTCAGCAATTTTACCACGAATAACAACACAAATTTCATCTGCATTTTGAATTGTTGAAAGTCGATGTGCAATTACAACTGTTGTCCTTCCTTTACTTGCATTTTCTAATGCACTTTGCACAACTTTTTCCGATACACTGTCGAGTGCACTTGTAGCCTCATCCAACAACAAAATCTTTGGATTTCGAATTAGAGCTCTTGCAATTGCAATTCGCTGTTTCTGTCCACCAGACATCTGACTTCCTCTATCACCAACAAGTGTATTATATCCTTCAGGAAGTGCGGTG